TGGTGCACTTCTTCCTCCTCTAGGAAAGTAGTGAGAGGGAGCCTTCTTTTATTTAACCTGAGTGAGTGCCTCCTTCTCTTTCTGGGGCAGGGGTGGGCCTGAGATCTGGGGATACATTTCAAGAAAGTTCTGCAGAAGCCGGAAGCTAAAAAGTCATTTGGCCTCCCTGCTTTGTGAAGAGGGATGGACTAGAACCATCTTGGCCAACTTGATTGGATTCTTCAGCTGATTTGGTGACTAGATCCTGTTATGAATTGATTTTGTGCCCTCTTTCCTTGTTAAGCTTTTGTTCTCTGAGTGGAAAACAAAAACCTTCTCAATGGGGAAAGATAGATTGTGGTATGTGTGTGAATGCAGGCCTCGCCAAAGTAGGCAGGCCTGAAACATGACCTACCTTTCCCGCTATTTCTTCCAATTGCTTGCAAAGTCTTTCTATGTCATTTTTAGTATGAAGTAAATGTTTCATATAGTCTCTGTTCTATTTTTGAAAGAGGAAGGAAGAGAAGAGGAGAAGAGGGAGAAAAGGAGAGAGGAGGGGTGGGGGGAGAAAGCAGAGGGACAAGGTCCAGTAATGAAATTCTGTTATTTAACACATAAGGGGGAGTTGGAGGGCATGCATCTTTGTGAATATATGTGTATAGTGGTGTCCTACACATACCCTCCAAATTCTATGTAGGTCTTGAAAAAAATATATGTTATGTCAGTAAATGCAAGGCTGTCCTTGGGTAAGTTGCTTCCCCTCTGGGTCTTAGTTTCTTGCCCTATAAAATGAGCTAAGGTCTCCTCTAGTTCTGACTCTGTGGCTCTATGAATTCCTAATGATTTCACAGTGTGTCCAAGAAATCCCTCTCTTCCTGACTCTTCTGGAGGTTCACTTTTCTTTTTAGGACCTATGCCCTCTAAAAGTTTATGTCCTGTTTCTTGGGACCATGAGCCTTAATACGCAGATTTCGTCTCTCTCTCTCTCTCTCTCTCTCTCTCTCTCTCTCTCTCTCTCTCTCTCTCTCTCTCTCTCTCTCTCTCTCTTTCTCTCTCTCTCTCTTTCTTTCTCTCTTTCTTTCTCTCTTTCTTTCTTTCATTCTTTCTTTTTTCTTTCTTTCTTGATTACAGAGCTTGGGTTTAGAGTTTGGGAGATACCACTGTATGTCTCTATGGGAGCAAAGGACTACCTTAGCAAGAGGCCACAGCTAGTGATAACTAAGGCTAACTGATAGTCCTCAGTAAGCATGGAAGGAAATCAGTTATTTTTGTATTCTGAGCTGCTAGCAGTTGCAGATTTGGAACAGAGGGTAAGGAGTTGGTGGATCTGCCTTTTTGAGGACAGGTTAATAGTTCATCTATTGGACCTTTGGGAAGATGGAACCAGCTGAAAAAGTAGACAAGTTAATTGTTGCATTTGTCCCATAAAGAGTTATTGACTGGGGAAGCTAAGTATCGCAGTGGATAGGGCACTGGCCCTGGATTCAGGAGGACCTGAGTTCAAATCCTTACTCGGACATATAACACTTACTAGTGGTGTGACCCTGGGCAAGTCACTTAACCCCATTGCCTAGCCACAAAGAAAAAAAGAAAGAAAAACAAAATTAAAAAAAGAGTTATTGATCATCTTCTCTGTGCATAAAATTTAAATAGGCCACTGGGGATGCCAAATAGATTAGACTTCATTTTCCACCCCTCATCTCTACTCTTACTCTTTCCCTACATCCTAGTTCCTATTGCCTTTCCAGGCCTTATCTCCATTTTTTCCTCCTCCCTTATCCCCCCTTCCCCATCCCTCTATTCACAAGAAAATGGGAATAAGTTAATGAATCCAGGTCTCTAAAGCTATTATAATAATAATTCAGTTTCTGATTTGAACAGGTGGTTTTAGAAGATGAAGTGACTTTCTAAGTAGTAACTCGTAAGTGTTTCCAGCACCATGAGTCCCCAGGTAGGGGCAAGGAAGATCTCTTCTCTGCTGCAAAATAATTTACAAGGTACTCCTTTTCTCTATCTCCCTCACTCCCCACCCCTCCTGCCTCCAACAATATGGGAGCCACAGTTAGCTGTGGATAGTTTTTATTTTTTGTTTAAGATTTTTAAAAAATTAAGGAAATGTTATTTTCAGTTTTTAAATCTCTCTCTTCCTCCCCTTCCCCTTGCCTTCATTAAGAAGGCAAGAAAAACAAAATCCCTTACAAATATGTACAGTATAGTCATTGAAAACAAAATTTCCATATTAGCCATGTTCCCCCCCCACAAAAAAAAGAAAAAAGAGGAAAATATGCTTCAGTCTGCACTCCTGCTCCATTAGCTCTCTGTCTAGATAGCATGGTGGATGGCATGTTTCATTGGGAGTCCTTTGGCATTGTCCTTGGTTGATTGTGTTGATCAGAGTTACTAGTCTTTCAAAGTTGATTATCTTTACAATATTGCTATTATTGTATAAATTGTTCTCCTGATTCTACTCACTTCACTTAGCATCAGTTCTTCTAAATCTTCCCAAGTTTTTCTGAAATCCTCCCCTTCATCATTTCTTTCAGCACAATATTATTCTGTCATATTCATAAACTATAACTTGCTCAACCATTCACTAATTGATGGGCATCACCTCAATTCTTTGCAACCACAAAAAGAGCTGCTATAAATATTTTTGTACACATAGACCCTTTTCCTCTTTCTTTGATCTCTTTGGGGTGTACTCTAGTAGCAGTATCGCAAGTCAAAGGGTATATGCAGTTTAATAGCTTTTTAGGCATGGTTCCAAATTGCTTTCTAGAATGTCTGGACCATTTCATAGCTTGCGGAGAGCTTTTCATCTTATGTATATACGATCCTGGGCAACCCACTTCCCCTCTCTGTTTCAGTTTTTCCACCTACAAAATGATGTTGGACTAGATAACTTTTAATATCTACTCTGGCTATATGAGACATGACCTTTGTCTACTACCACATAGACCATGGAGACAAAGACTTCCAAGGGTCATCATGCTAGGAGACTAGGTTTCCTGTGCCAAGGGACCAGCCTAACCACCCAGCCCCTCCACTCACACCTCCTTTGTGGTCTGTACCACAAGGATGAGTTCTTAAACCAATCTGAAAGAGACTTGTTAGAAAGCAACTGGGTAGGAAGTCAGGTCTGGGAGTTAGTTTCATCATGAACAAACTTGACAGTTTGGTAGAAGAGGTTTTTCTCCCCTTTCCTCTTCTTCCCATCACCTCATACAGTCCTTTATTAGCCCCTAGTTCTGCTGCTGCAGCCTGAGCAGGAGAGAGTGCTGACTGCTGATTTAACAAGTTTATGTTACCACTTTCACTTTTTGAGGTAATCTAGGGCTGTGATACAATTTAACAAATGGGAGAATCCTTGTTTCACAATTTATTGTCTCAGTTGGGCCGACTGAGTTGGGCCTTTTAGGTAGGAGTTTTAAGAGGGGAGATTTAATCACTAGGTCAGCTCTAGGGAGGAGACCAAGATATTTACTTCTCTAGGAAGGAGTAGGAAGAGTTGATCATATGCTATGGCATCCTGTGGGTAAGGGAGTTACATTTTTAAAGGACTTTTCAATCTTACCATTTGTCATTTCTCCTGAGCTTCCCTCTCCCTCTTTTCTGAAGCAGATGTATATAATTACTTTTTTAGGGATTAGGACTTTTTGATGGACCCTTCATAAGCATGGATCTCAAGAAATAGAAGAGCTCTTAGATCACAGAAGGGCTACAGCAAGATGGGCCTTTAGTATGTGAAAAACATAAAGAAATGAAAGGGACAGTAGAGACAGGGTACTCCATAGCCCTCTTTCTACAGAGGAAGAAACCAAGGCCCATAGAGTGTGGCTTACCCAAGGTCACAAGGGAAAACAGTGAGAGAACTGGGACTAGAACCCAGGTCTTCTGATGACCTTGCCAGGACTTTTACAACTCCACTCTTCATCTTAAGCCCTGAGACCCATGCTTTGTCCTTAGAGCTTTGTGGTTGAAACCACAGAGGTGGGGTTTCTTTTCCATGTGACCCTTTGAATCAGAGTCCTGTCAGGGGCCTTATATGCTCTGCTGCCTCAGGAGTAAAACAGACAGTGGGCTATTGAAAAGGACCTGGGTTCTGGTTTTGTCTGTTCTGCAGCTAACTTGCTGTATGACCGTAGGCAAGCCACTTCCCCTTTTAAAGCTCTCAGCTTCCCCATCTGTAAAATTAAGGGGTTGGACCTTAAGTTCCCTTTTCCACTCTGACAATTTACCTCCATAGGTGTTAAAAAAAAATAATCTCCATTTAATAACTGAGTCCCAGAAGGTTTGCCTTGTCCAAGTACTAGTTAAGTGGGACTTGGGAGCACAGACATCCTCCTTTTAAGATCCATGACAAAAACAGAAGGGCCTCGGGCAAGAGAATTTGGCAGGTAAGACTCTGGAGGTGTTGGGAGAGATGGTCATTCAGAGTCCAGGTGGTGACTATTTCTATCTGTCCAGGTGTGTGTGTTAGGGATTAATTTCTAAGTAGCAAGGAAAAGAGCTGAGCATTTAAGCTTTTTTGTTGGGGTTCTTTGCCCTGGCCTGCGGTGTGACTTTCCTGGAAACCGTTACCCTCTCTGTGCCTCAGGCTAATGATTTCATATTGCTTCTATTATAGGATTTGGACGGTCGAACCAACAAGGTTTCCTAGGACCAGGAGAAAGAGGCTTTGTGAACTCTGAAGAGTTGTAAAGAAGTAGCTCTAAACACTCTAGAAAGCCTTCTATCCCTCTGTTCCAGGACTGGAAGATTTTTAACGCAGAGATTTTCCCTACTGGGGGGTGGGGAAAGTTTCAATGAACTATTTCAAATTTCCCTCTCTCCTTCCCCTCCAGCCTCCGCCCCATCAGTTCTTGGGATGCTGAGTGGTTGGTATCTGGGGCTCCCCCCTCCCTCCTCTGGGGGCGGGGCTAGGCGGGGAAGGGCTTGTAAGGGCCTGGGACTCCGCCCCCTCCCCACCTACTTCAGCTGCCCCCTGCTCGCCGCTTCGGTCTCTGCGCGCCGCCCACTGTGCTCCGTACTTCTTTACGGGACCCTCCTGTTGGAAGGGAAGGGAGGACTCCAGCACCTGGAGAGTTAACCTGCTGCCAAGTAAATATAGCTTCGAGGTCGTTGCTTTGAGATTCGAGACCCGGGAAAAGTCAAGCCAGAGGATCTTGCAAACACCACGCGCAACTCAGTGCTCCACAGTCCAGCCGGCCCAGCGGGCAACACTGAACCGCACCGAACCTAGCACCACATTCCCATTCTCACTCCGACCAGTGGAGCAGGTGAGCACGCCCCCCAACTTCCCTGGATCCCAGCATGGTGGGAGGGTGGGTGGGGCGGGCCGGTGGCATGTGGACTAACTTTTCCCTTGGGACCCAAGTATTGAGGGGCTGTCTAACTGCCCTTCAGGGTGGGGGGGAGGTGAAGGGTACCTTCCCTAGGGAAATAAAGGACATCCGCCCGCCCCCAGCCCCCACCCCCCACCCCACTCAGAGGTGTCTGGGTTTCCGCTTAGAGGGTAGAGGGAGGGGGATATTGGTCTCTCAAGTAAGTGGTAATGAGAGAGGGTAAGGAGAAGCATCCATCCTGGTGAGAGAGGAGCTGAGGAAGAGGAGGGAGAAAGTGAGGTGGGTATGTCCACTTCCTTGCCACCTCCACCTCCAAGAGAAAAAGGGGAAAATGTGGGGTGTTAGCTTTACCAACCCTGAGGGATAAAAAAGGAAGAAGGGTGCTTTCCCTGCCTCCCTGCCCACCACCCTCCCGGGAAAGATGAGCCATATCCATACGGGACGAGAAGGGAGAATAGAGAAAAGGGGATATCTGCCTGCTTTCTCTGCCACAGACAGAATGAAAACTCTTATTTGAAAAAAGGGTTTTTGCCCTAAGGGGCAAAGGATACTTGTTACAGAGGGGTGTCCATTCCCAGACCAATATTGTCCCTTAGAGTGGGGGAAGGGAAATGAGAAAATGAAAAACTATATTTCATTGAGGGAGGTGGTGAGAGGACACCTCAACATTGGGAGAAGAGGCCCATATTAACTTGGAAGAGAAAGGGGGCAATGGGGTATTGAGAGGGGAGAAAAGAGTCATCCTTCTTTTGGTGTGGGGACCCAGTCAGGAAAAGGAAAGGTGTTTGGGGGAAAGTTGCCCTAGGGAGCATTGTGGGAGGGAAGAAAAAAGGGTCTTTCTTTGGGCTGAAGACAGGAAGGGGCTTGGATAAAGGGCAGAAGCTGGATTCAGTAGATTCAAGATTCCAGATTCAAGTCAAGATTCAGTAGAGCACTATTTCCAGTCTCAGTCTTCCCTATTTGCTAATCCATTTCACTTCTCCTTTATGCCCACCTAGGGCCTCCTATGGGGAGGGGAGGGGAGGAGGTGGGGCTCCTGGGACTTATACATTCAGACCCTACAAGAGTCCCAACTTGTGAATTCTGTAGGTCAAAAGGCATTCCCAAACTAAGTCGCTTATACTTCCTTGCGTTCATAATGTAGTCCTGCCTATGTGCTCTGGGGTAGGGGAACAGATAGTCAGAACTCTTAAAACAGATTGGAAAAGGAAAGCAGAGAGATGTGAGGAGTGGGGGTGGAAGGGAGGGCCTGACAATAATAGAAATAATCAAGTATGAGGAGCTTGAGGGTTTACAGGACATTTTCACATCTGTACATGAATTTGATCTTGTAACTGCATGGGAGTACAAGTATTGTCCCCATTTTACAGATGATCAAGGGTCGGGCAGTTAGAACTCTTATTTCTATAGCACTTTAAAAAATTTGTAGAATACATTCCTCACAGCCCTTTGAGGTAGGCAATAATACCAGGATCATTTGTCCCCATTTGGAGATGAGGAAAATGAGACATAGAGGTGGAATGAGTTGCTGGACCCCACCTTGGGTGTTTGGCACCAGGGCCACTTTCCACTATAGTGCTTCCCTTAGGCACTTCCCTAGGGGAAGATAGGATCACTCCTTGTTTGTGCTTGTTTCTTGGGGAAAGGTTTTGAGGAGAGGCTGGAAGAAGTTTGAGCAGTGCCATTTTGGATGGGGAATGGAGGCAGTTTGGGGAGCTAGTGGGTATCCAACCTTAACTTAGAGTTGAAGCAGCAAGTGTGTTGTGGGGAGAGGTTCCAGTTCCTAAGGAGCCTGTTTGGAGTGGGATCCTGACTTGGTCAGCTAGGAACTGCCTGAGTTAGGTAGATAATATAGTGAAAGGAACTGCATTTTGAGCCTTACTAGGGTGACCATGGCAAGTCAGTCACTTAAGCTCTGGGCCTCAATTCTCTTTTGAAAATGAAGGACTTGGCCAGAAGATGGCTGTCTCCTTCCACTTCTAGCTCCCAAGATCTTAGATTTTTTACCTTTTTAGTTTGGGAAGGCAAGTGGAATAGGAATTATTCCTGGAGGGAGAGAATATCCATTAAGAAAAAATTTTGACTCATAAAGTTGTCACCACCCAGCCTGCTCCAGCATACTGCTAGGTGAGGGAAGAGAATCAAGAACTACAGGCGTGGTGGGTTGGGGGAAAATAAAAAGGGTACAGGAAGGGACATCAAGTCTGGCAGGCTCAGTTCTTCCTGGGCTGGGGGAATGGGGGGGTGGAGAGTAGGGACTGAACTGCCCTCTACCCCATGACCCACTGAGACCCCTGTCTTTTCCAATTAGCACAGCCTGGCCTTGTGCTGAGGAAGGCCAGGAGGGGGTCTAGTTAATGTTCCCTTTGCCTCTAACAATAGAAAATGTCCGAGGAATGGCTTCTAAGCAGACCTCTTTCTCTTCTAAATCCTCCTCTCTTGAAGTTTGAAAATTTCTCCCTCCTTGTTTCACCTAGGGATTCTTTTGTATCCCACCTCCTCCCCCTTTGCTCCGGGCTCACCTTTATTTTTGTCTGAGTTGGCTCTTGTTAACCTCAACCCCTCCCCCCCCAGGGTCTGGGCTGTGGGCTGCAGGCCAGGGCTAGTATAGAAGCTGCAGTGACAGGGCCCAGGACCCCTGGAGAGGCACAGACCTTTCCCCCACCCCCACCTTTGTACTATAGCCTTAGGACTTGGAACTAGAAGGTACTTGAGAATGTAAAATTTTAAAGACTAGGCTAAAAGGATCCAAATGACCATAGAGTTTTCCTCATAACTGGTCCACAAAGTAGGTAGTCCTAAAGATGATCATTCCTGTTTTATAGATTAGGAAATTTGTAGCAATGGAAGTGACTTAGCTGAGTCATGCTGTTGGTGCTTGGTTCCTGTCACTGTCTCCCTCAAAGACTAGGGAGGCCCCTGCATCTTAGGGAAAGAAGAATAAAAGCAGAGCTGCTCCCTGAGAAAAGCACCATTCTTTTAATAATGAATTTTTATTGATATCTTTTTTTTTTACAACCCCTACATTTCTTTTCTACTGCATCTTTCTATGTTCCCACTTTCAGAGAGCCATGCCTTGTTACAAAACAGTTCAGGAAAAAAAAAAAAGTTAATAATAAGGAACTTCAAAAGGAAAAGTTGTAGAGAGAGGGGCCAATAGGATAGAGAGAAGGGAAGAGGAGAAGGGAAGCATGATCAGAAGAGGATGAATTGTGACGGAAAATCCGAGTGAGTAGTTCCTTGCTAGGTGGCCAGAGCAGAATAACAATACTAATTCCAGTCACTTTTTTCTTGTAGCCCTGGAATTGTAGACAAGGAAGGTGGTGATCTTAGTCCCATTTTACAGTTAAGGAAACTGAAGCCTGCCCAGAGAAATGAGTGAAATGCCTAGACCCAAGGCCAAGAAAATAGAAAAAAGAAAAGAAAAAGGAAAAGTTGGACCCTCAGTCTGTATTGTGGGGCTCAGCAGCCAGGAAAATGCTGTCTATAGTGGTTAGGTGCTGGACAGGAAGCCCAGTTACTAGATATGATTCCTAGGTCCAAATCCTCATTCCCAGTCTCACTAGATCTAGTAATGGGGAATGTGCTACAATACACCCTGCTTAGGCACTTTCATCTTTGTGTCTCCAACACCTCGGGTACCCACAAATCGCTGTATTTGAGTGCTTATTAATAAAGTATTTGAAGCTGACAGAAGTTTTTTCACTCTTCTGGAGAAAGAATGAATGGAGAGTCTTGACTCTGAACCAGTCACTTTCCTTTTCATGGGTCTGTTTCCTCTACCCACAAAATGAAGTCAGACTTTTTGTTGTTGTTTAGTCATTTTCAGTCATGTGTGACTCTTCAGGACCCCTTTTGGAGTTTTCCTGGCAAAGATACTGGAGTGGTTTGCCATTTCCTTCTCTAAGTCATTTCACAGACGAGGACACTGAGGCAAACAGGGTGAAGTGACCTGCCCAGGGTCACCCAGCTACTAAGTGTTTGAGGGCAGATTTGAACTCAGTGAGATGAGTCTTCCTTATACCAGACCCAGCACTCTGTCCACTGTGCCTTCTAGCTGCCCCTAAGTCAGACGAAGTTGTTTACAAATGTTTTGGGCTTACCTTTAATTCCTAATGACTTACTGTCCACATAACATCAGGGTCACTGATGCTAAGTGATAAAGGGATAAGTGAGGAACCCAGGAGAAAGCTGTCTAGAGGATCCTAGATTGAAAGTAGGAAGAGGTGATAGACTTAAAAAATGGATGTTTTTCCCTTTACCCTATCCTCCTTCTGAAAAGCCATCCTTTATAAAGAAAAAAAAAGTTCTACAGCAAATTGAAAATGGGAGGAAATTGTATCATCTTGCATCTCTTTTTTGTAGCCAACATTGGTCATTATAACTTGGAGTATTCAGATTTGATTATTTTGTTCTTTTTGGGTACATTGTAATCATAGGCTCATCATTTTTAAGTCTCATTTTTATAGTGCTTTAAAGTTTATAAAAACAACCCTATAAAGTATAAACCCTATGAAAGCAGTATACATATCCATTAATATACAATTAATAAGGCAGCATCTGTGGATATGGAATTAGCAAACTGAGGCTCGAATCCCAGTTTTGTCTGGCAAGTCATAATTACTCAGAGCCTCAGGTTTTCTCAGTCATAAAATAGGGATGGGAGCATGGTACTGGGGGGATAGGGGCTGGTTGTGGAGTCAGCTCTACTAATTTTTTTAATCTGCTACTTTGGACAAATCACTGACCCTCTAGGCCTCAGTATCCTCATCTATAAATTCAGTTTGACTGGATGGCTCATCCTCCTGCAAACTACCTTACCAAGGTAAGAAAGTGATTTGTAAATTTTCAAGGCCTAGAGAAATAAGCGAATGTAATGGTTCTGATTTTATCTCATTGGTTTCCCAGAGTAGCTGACTCTCTTTTTAATTTTC